TTGTTTATCTATTTAGGAAAAGAAAGAAAATTAGGAAATAAAACGGGTTGGAAAAGTTTGTGTTAGGTTCGGAGTAATAGTTCGGAACTTCAGTTAGGAGATCGGAGCAGTTAGTTCGGAATTGGACTTAGATTTTTTGCAAAACACTTTCAACAAAAACTTTAAAATAATAAATATAGTTGTCTATTGAAATTGACTAGTTAGGTAGAGGGTGTTGGAAAATGTCAGTTACCTACCTAGTAACCTAATTAGTCGCTTTGAATATTCAACTAAAATGGTAACTGACAATTATTTAAAAGAGGTTAAACCTAACAAATATTTACAAGAAAATTCTAGAGAAAACAACTTTTCTAGAGTAGAAGAAATTGCTAAATTTCTTTTCTGAGAATTAGGGAAGAATTACCTTAATCACCTTAGTAAAGAAAAGATTGAGATGATTCATGTAGAAGCATTCCCTAGTTACTACTTTCTGAAAAATGGACCGTGGATTTCCAGTTCCATTAAATGTTGTATGACATGTAATTCTATCATAGAAAGAACAGAAAAAAAAATACAAATATACATCCGCCTTCACAAAAGTAAAATTTCACCAAATTTATCATCCTCAATTGCTTGTGTTTTTGCTCATGTTTGCCTATTTTTTAAACCTACCGAAAATGATTATGAAAAGGAACACAATGAACGCAAAGAAAATTTTCTAAATTTTCTAGCAGACAACTATTGATAACAAATTTTCCTCTATCTATTCTCATCATCTTCCGCTTTGTAAAGTATTTCTTCAATACTTCCAAGATAGTAGAACAGTTTTTCACGCTGTTTTATAGTTAAGGTTATTGTTTCTTTTGGCTTTATTTCGTTCCAAGGAACAGTTCTGTTACATTTGGGGCAAGTGTATTTCAGATTAACTCTATTGTTTTCTTCGGTTTTTTCTAGGAGCATCTCCTGATTGCAACAATTACCACTAACTAGTTCCGTCGCTAACTTTTCGTGATTTTTTATTTGCTCTTTTCTAGTTGCCATATATAAGTATTTTAACCTAAAACTCCTAAAAAACATAAAAAACTACATTATAACTAATAGTGGACAAGTCATATTAGCAAGCGGCCGACTCTTGTAAAATTAGGAATGGGCGGAGGAAAGATTAAAGAAAAAGATAAATGAGTCTTCGATTAGTAAAATTACTTATATGAATAAACTACAAGGCAAAAACATTCAAATCTACAAAATCATAGGTAAAAAGCCTAGTGCTTATAATTCCATTGAATTTACTTTACATAAGTCCATTCCCTACTTACAA